CGAATTGGACAGCATGAAGTCCTATTACCCATACTAATTTTCGATAATTTTAACAAAATTATCGATCCCGTGAGCAACCACATACGAGACAAAGCTGCCGACCATTGTGATTTTCCCGCGCCTGTGAGAGCAATGACGTCACAGAATACTGAAAACTGATTGGTTTTAATTTTACATGTGAAAATTATCGTAATTTTACATGTGTTGAAATACGAAATTTCTCAGTTGTAGAAATCTTTGTAAACAACTATAGTTTACATAATAAAATCTTGAATTTGGCTACCTGTGTCCTATATAACAAAAAATATCGATCACAGTAGTGACGATTCTTGATTTCTTGCCAAATACTTTTATTGTGTCTTGAAATTCTAGAGTCTATTAAAATTGATCAGAGGCAACCTTTGTACGTAATTCGATCAAATCAAGTCTGGTTTAATAAATAAGTATGATTTGTGTATTTGTTTTCATTTGATATCTCAAAGAAATACTCTTAATTCGAAGAGTCTAAATAACCAAGTGTATCTTTGGAAACTAAAAATGGATGGAAAAGTTTCCAAGTCGAATAAGTTAACTGCTTCAACGATAGTTGCCATTGTTTCGTTAGTCGCTCTCTTGCTGTGCTGTGGTGAGTTTGTACGTATCGAGATGATTCTGAAGCAACAAAACACGAAAATACAACAGTTGGAGAACAAGATGACCTTTCAAGCAGTCAATGTCGACAACAGCCTCGACAACATGGGTGCAAACAAAGGAAAAGGCCTCGAACAACTTGCTTTGGACGTCAAAGAATGTTGTGGAAGGACCAAGAAACGAATGCAAAGAAGTTTCGACGGGAATGAACCACTATTACAGGAAGAAATTAACGACACGAAGAGTGAGAGCCGTCTTTTTGAAAAACTGAYCAAACTAATGGAGCAGCAAGTGAGCAAAGCTATCTCTGCTAAGAACTTTATCGCTATACGAGGTAGAAGAGGCAAAAGAGGACCCAGAGGACCACAAGGACCCATGGGTAAACCAGGTAGAACAGGCAAGCAAGGAATACCGGGACTGAAAGGTGATCCAGGACAAAATGGAGTTGCCGGTCCTCGAGGCATGCCGGGACCGAAAGGGGATCGCGGTCCTTCGTTAGAACCTCCATCAGTTGTGATCTCTTCGCCTAAATTGATCGTCAATGAAAGCAAACCAGCCATTTTCCACTGTTCTGCAAGTGGATATCCTCGACCTGACATCGTTTGGAGTAAAAGGGATGGTTCATTGGCCTCCAACAGATCCATGATTGATGATACTGGTAAACTGTTGATAAAAGACGTCACATTTAATGACTCAGGGATATATCAGTGTCAGGCTTCTAGTATCCTTGGGAAAACACAGACAACCTCAAGACTCGAGGTAAATTTCCGTCCAAGATTAATATTAAAGAACGGACCAATCTACGCTAGGTTAGGAGACAATGTTACTCTTCCCGTGTGTCGCGTGACTGGGCATCCACAACCGGAAGTTGTTTGGCGAAAGTCACTTGGCCAATTACCTGATAAACGTTCTCATATCGAAGAGAATAAATTAACTTTGGTCAGCTTACGAAAAGAAGACTCCGGGACGTATTTTTGTAAGGCTGAAAATCAACTTGGATTCGAAGCAGCAGGATGTATGCTAGTCGTGGTACAGTTGCCTGTTTTCATCGCTCGACCTCCGCTTGTCGTAAACGTCACACTCGGCTCGACCATTATGCTCAATTGTTCAGCTCAAGGTGACCCTCCACCGTTAATCAGCTGGAGAAAAGAAAAACAAGGTCTTCCAGTAGGACGGTATGAAATACGTCATGGTTCATTAATGATAAAAAATGTGCTCAGCTCGGACTCAGGTGTGTACGTGTGCACCGCTACGAGTGCTGGCGTTGCTGATACAGAGACTAAAACACGAATAACAGTCTACTACGATTGTGCCGATATCTACAAATCAGGTGAAAGACGTAGCGGTGTGTACACAGTAAAACCAGACAGTCAAGGACCCTTTCAAGTGTACTGCGACATGACAACTGACGGAGGGGGGTGGACAGTGTTCCAAAGAAGAAAAGATGGATCTGTTGATTTTTATCTTGGATGGCAGCAGTACAAAACAGGCTTTGGAAACCTGAATGGCGAGTTCTGGTTGGGTAATGACTACATCCATCGAGTGACAACAAGAACACCCTCGACTCTACGTGTGGACCTGGAGGACTGGAGTGCAGTAAAGTATTTTGCCAAGTATGGTAGTTTTAGTGTTGGTTCTGCATCAGACAAGTACAGACTTAAGGTTGGCTCTTATTCGGGTACTGCTGGAGACTCACTGTCGTACCATAATAACATGTTCTTTACTACCAAAGACCAACATAATGACGAGTATGTTGTAAACTGTGCGTCTTTATATAGTGGTGCTTGGTGGTATAAGTCTTGTTTTTATTCCAAACTCAATGGGAAGTATTTGGGAAACACCATTAATGGGAAAGGGATTGTCTGGAGTCATGCAAAAGATAACTATTATTCATTCAAGCGTTCAGAAATGAAAGTACGACCCAAAACATTTTAATGTTATTGTTTGTTTCGCTTCTACTAAGACTTCTCTCGTGTTCCGTCAATCCTCAACGACTGCATGCAGCAAGTACGCACTGGTGTCATTACTTCAGTACAGCACAGTCCTCGACCAATCATAGTGCTTGTTGCAAGGTGACTAAATAATAACCCCAAATGTGTAAAAGCTTAGTTTAGAATGAAACAGATTTAGAGGGTGTACTGACAGCGCTTGAATATGGATTACTTTGTGTAGCTTCCTTTCGATAGATGAGAACTGGAACAAATCTACTTCATGATATCGATGGACATGACAATCTTAGATACATAATTAGATTCATGAAATCATGATCATCTGAAAATATATAAATATACTGATGTATTTGACGCTTCTGCGCATGACAGCATCCATATATTTAGTTTTTCAAAGCCACCAGACGACAGCCATCAGCTTCCCTCAATCAAACATTCATGCACTAAATCAAACCGTTTATGTAAACTGCGCACCGTCGGCTTCCATTGATAGCAGTTGAATTTCAACTGAAGGAACTACCGACGTTGAATATAGGTACTTTACCTTTTTATGTGTGTGTTTTTTGATGGACGGAAGCCAAAACACGAGAAAACGTCTTGAGTTTTCTGAGCATCAAATTTTTGAGAACATTCCGGCCCTGTTGTATCGGCTATAAAATCACGAACCGGGGGCGAGCTCAGCATGATCACGTGAGGTTATTCAAAGAAACTAAAGGTACTTTGTGATTGGATTGAGGAGCTCAGCATGATCACGTGAGGTTAGTCAAAGAAACTAAAGGTACTTTGTGATTGGATGGAGGAGCTCAGCATGATCACGTGAGGTTAGTCAAAGAAACTAAAGGTAC